AATATGGGACAGAGTTACAATAATTTGTTCTTGTAGGATATTTGAATGAATAATTTCATTAATTAAAGAAGATAGAGTCTTGTCTACATGAGGAAAGTATCACAAATAAGCTATGGTATGAATTTAAGGTATAATAGCTATTCAGCACTAACTTCTTATATGAACAATTTTATTCTGTACTACAAATGACCTTTCACAGTCTAGTTGACTGAAAAACATGCAAGTTCCCTCCAGCCCCAATGACAAATAAATATTTATGTCAGGAGTTAGTGCAGAACAGTTACTACATGATAAAATTACATTGTCAGCTTATTCTACATTCTACTGGCCTTCTTGAAAGCATTCTTAGGACAAAGTATAATACTGCGTTATAGATGTACTCCTACGGGTACTTGTATATTATATATGAACTTACAGCAAAATATATTATTTCTAAGAATATCTATATTCATCTATATATTCTGAGATATCAGAAGTCTGTCATGCTTTGCTGGAATCAAAGATGATGGTCATGCAAACTAGACTATTGTAAAATAAATTATAAATTCATCAGCTTTAGTTACTGTGTTGACATATAAAGACTAATGATGTTACTAAAACAATGGGATTAACAGCAGCTGGTGTGATTAGGGTTCAGATATAAGTCATAAATTACTTCTTTTCAATAATGGTAAAATCACAAAATTACCTTTATTATTATGTGTAATATTAGATGACAAAGCTATATGCCTACTTGTCATTGCTTATGTGATAGGCATTACAAAAGAAAAGTAAATGACCACAAGAGTTATCCTATGTCAATCAGCTTCTGAAGATGGTCACTATTCCACTACCTTTCTGGCTTTCTAATACAGCGAATTCAGGACACAAATATGGAAGCTTTCATATGAGAAAATCAGGAAATGTTTCAATTCCTGTAACTCTTAAACCACATGAAGACAATAACATCACTTGCATATTAGTGTATTTAAACATGTTATGCATTTTGACCTTTAATAAGAATGTAATTTCAAATACTTTAATTTGCTTATTTTGCAGTTTTTATCAACTAACTCCTTTTGTTCTAAAACAGAAGTTTGCATTGTTTTTCAGGTGCTTTGATTACCTTTTTTTTTGTCTTCAAATGTATCTCTGTGCATTTCTTAAATATATTTTCTTTGGTTCTATAATTTTCTAAGAAAATAGAAAAACTGGGATTAGAGCTGAATGGAAGCAAACAGCGTTTGGAACAAGCCCAGCAGGATGTGACAGGAGCCAGAGAGGAGTGCCTAAAACTGGCAGAACTGCTGAGTAAATCTGAACACCAACTGCACCTCACCAGGTACCCCTTATCCTATTACATGCTGTAGTACCAATTTCATTCTGCTAATTTTTGCCACAGGCTTCCCCACAGTTGTTGTAGATCCTTGCAGTCACTGACTGCATGGGCAGCCCTCAGTCAGGTTAGAAGCGGAGATTGGAATAAGTGGGTTATGAACTACAAAGTGAGTTATGAACCATGTAGGAGTGAATTACTAGTGTAGTAGAAAAGGCAGTGTTCAGCCCTGATGATGAAGTGGCATGCTTCTAGGCAGGAAGAAGAGTAGGGGAGACTGCAAAAGCGTTCTTGTTGTTGCTGTGTTTGGTAGGACAAAGATATCTGAAATGTTTAAGACTAGTGTACAGCAGCACCTTTAAGCACAGGAGTTCTCAGATTAATAACCGGAAATTTCTGCAGCAGAATGACCGGGAACATATAAATGAACTTAATCGTGTCTATAGGAGGTAAACTCAAGTAAGTGAGGAGGGTGTTTAAGTCAATGAAGATATAGTACAACACAGTGTGTGATGAGCTCCCTGAGTTTATTCCATCCTTGGGTATAGTTCCCAATGTCATTTAATGTACTACTCATTACATATTTCTAGAAAACTCCAGAAGGTTGACATGCCAACTATTCATTGCAGCTTGAGTTTTGGTAATTGCAGGATTGTTTCCTTTTGCCACAGAAAATGCTATTGTCTGACTCTTTGCAGACTTTTTGGTTGTGTGTATGGTTATTGTATTGTTCTGCCACCCTGCTCTCCCCAAGAGTGAACATCCAGAAACAAATCTGGCAGCTTTTTTTGCTCAGTCCTTAAAGAAAAAAGTTAAGTTAGTTTAAATTTTTCATGGGGGGGGAAAAGCCCAAATTTTTATCACTTAACAGAAGTCTGTGTGTTTATCCAACTCTTGTACATTTTGGGCTTTGTGAGAATTTTGCCATTGAGTAAATGGAAATAAAATAGAGCCTTGTCTAAACTATTGAATTCAATGAATCATTTTTTTTTTTATTCAGCTAAATTTCTGTGTAATTCAGAGCACGGTTGTTTAACAGATGGAAGAAAGTACCACTCTAACAGCCTGTATTTAGAGAAAAAAATATGCTAGAGGTTAATGAACTTGAAAAAAGTTTTGGGTGAGTTGTTAAGATATCTAAAGTTTGGATTTAGCAGAACTTTATTAATAATGATTTGTTGTGATAGTTAACCAAATGGCTTACCGTGCTCCTTTTAGCAAAAGGCTGATTATATGCAATAAAGCTCTGGATATCTTGGAAGAAATCTGAGTAGTGAATTTATAATTTTTTTATTTTTTTTTTTGTGCAAATACTCAAAATGTAAAAATGAGGACTGTAGCCTACTTTTGCATAGCAAGGTAATTAAAGCTGAATACCTAGCTTACAGCTGATTCAGACAGCTTTTCAACGTATCGTCTCTGACTCGGAAGGTTTCTGAGATCCAAATCACTGGATGCTGGGAATTGTATTTTGGGCAAGTAATGCTCTGTGCTGGCCCCGTTCTCATACAATTTCACACACGCCTGCTTTTTAAGACAGATGCTGAACTGCCGCGGCTTCTTTGTCTGACCTAGTGCAGACACTCTTCTGCAAGGGGCTGATCTCTTGGGGGTTTTGGGGTTTTTTGTTACTACTTTGTGTTCACGTTATAGCTTCTGCTTATAAGTATTGAAATGTTTTCTATGCTGACATGTATTTGTTGGAAAAAGATATATGCTGAGGCATGGGAAATAGGTTCCAATCTTTCTTCTTGACGTTCCCCAAATTCTATAATACTTCGTAGATTTTTGTGTCCTCTGTATATTTGGACTGTCTGTCTGCTTTCCAGGAATGCATTAGGTGATGTTGCTGTCAGGGGTGAAGGAGGGAGCAAAAGAGATGAGTGATTCATTGCTCCTGGACCGTTACCCATTTTCCCCTTGTACTTAAATTGGTAGGGCAGTGTTAGAGGTGTTCTCGCAGAGTTGCCTGTTTTCCCTGAGTTGCAGAGGAAAACATCCCCTACTCAAATGAAACTTGTCCTTGGCCTGTACTCCTTTTCTTCCTCTCAGATCACTTCCTGGCAGAACAGGTTATCTGTGTTAGTGAAGATATAAAGGTTCCATGACTCTAGTTGCATCAGTTTTGCCTTTTTAAACTTAGTATGTTTTTCATGGATTGGTACATCCATAGTTGTTGAATGTGAATTTTATTCGTTCATGATTTGCCTTCTTGCGTTAATTCCCTTCGTCTCAAATGGCAACCGTGTCAGTGAAAATAGTCACTTGAAGGGTTGGGGTAATAGCAATCCTGGGGGGGTTATAGACCCATTCACTGTGGCACTTGCCAAGGAAAACAGATTTTAAGCTCTAGAGTCCTGGCTGTGGGAGGTTGCTGCAGAAATTGCACTGATTTAGTGCATCTCTTGGGTATTCTGGCCTTGGCCTTGTCTTCCTGATTCTCTTCTTTTCAGGAGAGGACCAGCTGGTCCGCTCCAAGTCTTCTCACAACGCTGGATTTGAAGGAGGCTGTACTGCTGTTACTGTTGCGGATGGTCTTTCTGTTGCCTTGCATGACCTGTCTGTGCTGTTCTGGCAGAACCTGAGGTAGCTGAGGAGATACAGAAATAATTCTTTATTTTGTATGAATTAGTATATTACTAAGGATAATAAAATTAATACCAGAACTTGGGATTTTAATGTACAAAAATTAGATGATAAATGTATATGAATGGATTAAATGAGAAAAAAACATGCAGTCTGTCTCTTAATGAGAAAAAGAAAGTGCTCTGCAGAGCAACACTCTTCTCCACAAGTCCCACTTCTTTGCTGCATCCTAGTTTTCAGACATTGTTGATTGATTACCAACTAAACAGCTTCTAAGTTAACAAAATGTACTTGTTAAAAATGAAGAAAAAAAGGTTACAATTAGCTATTCTAAACCATTGCCACAGAGTTTAAAATTGCCTTTTCCTGTCACCTTTCTTCCTGGAGCAATATGTTGCTTAGAAATCCTTGCTATTAACATGCATTTTCTTCTATTGAATCTAGTTAGTAATTCTAATATGTATATCTTCAAAAGACTGGAAAAATACAGAATTTTTACTGTGTAGTTTTGCTTGTCAGTCATGTAACTTTGCAGATGTCACCATGCTATGAGACTGACCATGATTGTTTAAAGTTTTCTTGGGGTTTTTTTGCCCTAGTTTCAGCTTTATTTTTATTTGTATTAGAGTTATTGTAGTAGGAGAATCTTATGAAACTAGTTCTTAAGTCAATGTTAAATTGCCATTACTTTGTCAAGGTTACGTCTTGCTAATGAATCTTACCTGAATCCATTCTTCAGAGAGTAGAAAACATATAAATCTATTGTTCTTAGTTGATGAAAGAATAGTCATTAAAAATCATGTCAATATGCTCATGGAAAAGATCATATAGAAGATGCAAGATGTTAACAACTTGTTCAGATCTTAGCGTGCCATCTAATTTAATAAAATTTTTAACTATTCTTGCGTAACAGAATCATCATTGAAAAACTTTCTCTTTCAAACCAGATCTGAAGTTATTATTTGTTTCAGTTGCAGTCAGATGCAATTCCTGTTTACATATGCCAAAGAAGTTAAATAAATCTTAAGAAGTGAGGGAATCACTGAGTTTCAAAACTGAATTTTTTCTGTGCCATCATGCGTTTTCTCAGGTCAGAGGTAGGTAAATGGCTTGAGATACTTTACACTGAAATGTCATCTAAAATTTGCTGGAAAATATAATGGAGTAGAATTGAAGCAGATTTAGTTTAGTTTATTTTTTTATTATTCTTGTTTGCTTATATGAAACATTATAAGCACTAGTGAAGGTCAACTTGTAGGTGAGGAAGAATTACTAAATGAACCCATGCTTTCAGGTTCAGGTGATCCACCAAGGTACCCTAAATCCATGTGACATTCTCTTGAAGGACTAAAGTCTATATTACAGTGAGTCAGTGGGTGTTGACTTTCTTGATTATTGTTTTTCCCCATTATGGGATATTCCTTTTCTCCCCTCTTTTTGACGATGATATGATCTCTAGAAAGCAGCAGATCTAAGAAAGTGGCAATTAGGTCTTAGCAGTGCTATAGCCATCCTACTGTGCATTGGTCCTTCTTGCTAGTTTCAGTGACTCCATTAAGGCTAGCTTCTATTACATGCAAAATAAATCAAGCACATACCCTTCCAGCTTAATGTGGCATTGGCACAGTCTCTGAAGCTTTGGTGTTGAGCTGTATGTCGTCATCAGTGTTCCTTGTTAGATATGCAGCGTGCCTCATACATTGATTTCCCTATTTAAACTATACTATTAAATGATAAAATTGTAAATTAACTTCTTGGTCGTTATACATAGCCTTCTAGGGAGTTGCACACTACTTAATATTTATTGTTTTCTTCCTAGCGGTATCTATCAGTTAGCAGCATACTTACTGCGATGCTTTTTCCAACAATTTCAGCATGTCAGAGTCCATCATCTGTGCTGGAAAGGAGTTTTAAAGAAATGCTTTTACTAATATTACATGACTGAGATGTGCTTTATGTTCTCAGACTAACTGATGAAAGGACCAATAACACTTGAATGGGGGGGGTTGGGGAGAAGCATAAATAAGATGTAAGCAGTGATTGATTTCTAATTTTTTTATATTCTGCTCATCTTGTACAAAACCTTTATTTTAAAATGCAAGGAAGGGTGATAACATGAAACAACTCTGACAACTAATAAACTTTTTAGATTATGCTTCATATGTTTACTTTTCATTAAATTTAGGGACAGTTGCGACTATGTTGTTGTGATTCAGTCAACATTTACTTCTATCTGTTTTTCATATACAAAGGCATCGGGGTGCCAGAAAATAAACTGTTAACGGAGAATTAACTTCTTTGGCACGCTTTCATACTTATCTTCCAAATTAAAGAAAATGAAATGGGCAGAAGCAGAGTGTAGATTACCTCCTTTTTGTCAAAAATGGTGGGAATTTGAAAATTAATAATAAAAAAGGGAA